CGCCTGACTCCAGAATGCGCGGCTGCTCAAACCAGTGACTCCGAAAACCTGCGTGAAACGATCCGAGCGATCGTGTGGGAAGAGCTGCGCAAACTGTTGCCTCCGGCGCAACCTCAAGTGGATTCGATCGCCGACATTGTGCGAGAAGAAGTTCGGCAATCACATCGAATTCCCCATACACCGCTGCCCGAGCCAGAAACTATGAGCTACGCCACTGCAGTGCGCCACAACGCTCCTCCCCGTCCACGCCAAAACGCCGCCCCGTCGCATTTCCGTCGCCAGACACCACCGCCGCCACCACCCCCACCGACGACCTACCGTTCACCAGCGGGCCAGCGCAGTGCACCGAGGAAAACCGACGTTTGGCGCACCCCTGACCACCGCCCACTGTGCTACCACTGCGGCGAGGCCGGGCACACTTACCGCCGTTGCCAGTACCGACAGATGGGACTACGTGGCTTCGCCGTCGATGCACCACGTCCGCAGCCAGGAGAACGACCACGTGACATCGCCGACTATCTGACTGGAACTCGGTGGACACCACGAAGCCCTTCGCGTTCGCCGTCGCCCAGCCGCCGCACGTCACCGCACCACCGAGAGTACTCTGGCCCAACGCGGGGCCGGTCTCCTAGCCCGTATCCGGGAAACTAAGGGCAGCAACCGGTGGAGGTGCGGTTGCTGTGCGACGAACTACCGAAGATCCTCCGACGACGTCGACGCCGCGACGGAGCTTTCCGAACACAACGCCAACCAGGCAAAGCCCTGACGGCGAAAGCTCACTTACTGAAGGTGGCCTGACGACGCAACATGGAAGCAGCGGAACAAACCGACGCAGCCGTGACCCGACGCCACGCCCTAACTGTAATGCGAGACGGCGAACTAGCGACCTCGACGTTCTTATCGACGGCCACAGTGTGACCGCTCTCGTCGATACTGGAGCCGACTGTTCTGTCATCAGTGGGTCGTTCGCCGCGAAGTTAAAGAAAGTTAGGACAGCTTGGAAAGGCCCTGAAATCCGCACAGCCGGAGGTCATCTCGTAACGCCTGCAGGAATCTGCACAGCGAGAGTCACCATTAACGGCCGTATTTATCCTACAGACTTCATAGTCCTACAGCATTGCTCGAGAGATGTCATCCTTGGCATGGACTTCTTATGCCTCCATGGTGCTGTCATCAACCTAAAAACAAAGTCGATAACGTTATCCACAGAAGAAGCACTACCGCCGCGCACGCCGTCTGGACACCATGCCTTGAATGTGCTGGAAGAACAAGTCACCATTCCGCCTCGCTCAAGCGTCATTATTTCAGTCGGCGCTCCTGAATCACCTGAGTTCAAAGGCGTCGTTGAAGGCACTCAGCATCTGTTGGTCACCCGAAATATTTGCGTCGCAAGAGGAATGGCAGAGCTGCGGGGAGGCAAAGCAACGGTTATGCTCACGAATTTCAGCAATGAGTACAAAGAACAAAGGAAGAACGGTCACATACATCGAAGAAATTGTCGAAGCCACCAGTGCTTTCGCTCTTGCCGATTCTGCGGAACCTGCTCAGAGGAACCAAGCCCCTGCCATAGCTTTCGACGTCAATCCCAGACTTCCGAACGATAAGCAAGAACAGCTCAAGGCCCTGCTCCTGCAATACGAAGATTGCTTTTCGTCGTCATCGAAAATTCGGCAGACCCCAATCACGAAACATCGCATCATAACCGAAGAAAATGCCAGACCACTCCGTCAGAGTCCGTACAGGGTTTCGACGCGAGAACGTGAGGCCATGAAGAGACAAGTTGATGAAATGCTGCGGGATGACATTATCCAGCCGTCCAAGAGCCCATGAGCATCCCCCGTGGTGTTAGTGAAGAAAAAGGATGGGACCCTACGTTTCTGCGTCAATTATCGCCGCCTGAACAAAATCACAAGAAAGGACGTGTATCCTCTCCCACGGATAGACGACGCACTTGGTCGGCTCCATAACGCCAAGTACTTTTTGTCAATGGACCTCAAGACTGGCTATTGGCAAATCGAAGTCGGCGAAAGAGACCGAGAGAAGACGGCGTTTATAACACCGGACGGCCTCTTCGAGTTTAAGGTGATGCCCTTCGGCCTTTGCTCAGCGCCTGCAACTTTTCAACGCGTTATGGATACAGTACTGGCAGGATTGAAGTGGCAGACTTGCCTTGTGTACTTGGACGACGTCGTCGTGTTTTCCTCGAGTTCCGACGAGCATCTTCGGCGCCTTGAAGCTGTACTTCAAGCCATCAAGACTTCCGGACTCACACTGAAGCCAGAAAAGTGCAGATTTGCGTATGAAGAGCTCTTGTTTCTGGGGCACGTTATCAGCAAGTCTGGAGTTCGTCCTGATCCACGGAAAACAGCCACCATCGCCGACTTCCCGCCGCCCACTGACAAGAAAGCCGTGCGCCGATTTCTGGGCCTGTGCGCTATTATAGGCGGTTCGTGAAAAACTTCGCCCGCATCGCCGATCCTCTCACTAACCTTACCAAGGCCGACGTGGAGTTCAAGTGGGAAACGCCCCAGGAATACGCTTTCCAGGAGCTTAAACATCGCCTCCAGACGCCTCCGTTACTTGCCCATTTCGATGAATTCGCCGAGACAGAAATACATACTGACGTAAGCAGCGTAGGTCTTGGCGCCGTTCTTGTGCAGAGGGCTGACGGACTTGAAAGGGTTATTAGTTACGGCAGCCGATCGCTATCCAGAGCAGAAGCAAATTATTCCACAACAGAAAAGGAGTGCCTCGCCATCATCTGGGCTACGTCGAAATTTCGCCCATACCTCTACGGCAGGCCCTTTAAAGTTGTGAGCGACCACCACGCCTTGTGTTGGCTAGCCACTTTGAAGGACCCTTCAGGTCGCCTCGCGCGATGGAGCCTGAGACTTCAAGAATATGACATTACTGTCATTTACAAGTCCGGCAAAAAAACACTCCGACGCCGACTGTCTCTCTCGTGCGCCTGTCGACCAACCGCTATCCGACGACCCGGATGACGACTACTTCTTGGGAACGATCACTACCGACGACTTCGCTGAACGACAGCGGGCCGACCCGGAACTTAAGGCCCTAATAGAATACCTCGAAGGCAGGACCGCCGAAGTCCCGAAGGTATTCAAGCGCGCACTTGCGTCGTTTTTTCTACGAAACGGTCTTCTACAAAAGAAAAACTTTTCACCGCTTCGGGCTAAGTACCTTCTTGTGGTGCCTTCAGCTCAGCGACCAGAACTCCAGCAGGCCCTGCACGACGATCCGACGGCAGGGCACCTCGGTGTTTCTCGCACGCTCGCGAGGATACAAGAAAGGTACTACTGGCCGCGTCTTACCACCGACGTCACTCGTTATGTGAGGACAGTCAGGGACTGTCAGCGACGCAAGACACCGCCGACAAGGCCAGCGGGACTTCTGCAGCCAATAGATCCACCTTGCCGACCTTTCCAGCAGATTGGTATGGACCTACTGGGGCCGTTCCCGACGTCGGCTTTCGGAAACAAGTGGATCGTGGTAGCTACCGACTACCTCACCCGCTATGCCGAGACAAAAGCCCTGCCAAAAGGCAGTGCATCCGAGGTAGCTAAGTTCTTCGTCGAAAATATCGTCCTACGTCACGGCGCCCCGGAGGTCCTTATCACCAACAGAGGAACGGGATTCACTGCCGACTTAACACAAGCGATCTTGGCATACAGCCAAACAAACCACCGCCGGACGACAGCGTATCACCCACAGACCAACGGCCTCACCGAGCGGCTTAAGAAGACGATCGCTGACATGCTGTCAATGTACGTCGATGTCGAACACAAGACGTGGGACGCCATTCTTCCGTATGTGACCTTCGCATACAACACGGCGGTGCAGGAGACGACGCAGATATCTTCATACAAATTGGTCTACGGAAGGAGCCCGACAACGACGCTCGATGCCATGTTACCCAACGTCACCGACGAAGAAAACCTCGATGTGAGCGAGTACCTTCATCGCGCCGAAGAAGCCCGACCACTTGCGCGGCTCCGTATCAAGAATCAACAAACGACCGACAGCCACCGTTACAACCTTCGACGACGCTTCGCGGAATACGAGCCTGGTGAACGTGTTTGGTTGTGGACGCCGATACGCCGACGTGGACTAAGTGAAAAGCTTCTGCGACGGTACTTCGGACCGTACAGGGTGGTTCGGCGTCTCGGCCCACTTGATTACGAGGTTGTCCCCGACGGCATCACGAACTCTCAACGACGCCGATCGCGACCTGAAGTCGTCCATGTCGCACGCCTATAGCCGTTTAATGCGCGTTAACAAACTGAAACAGTGCTTTTTTGTATTATTGTTGTATTGTAATTTATTCATTGTACTTTCTTGCATTATTATTGTACCTTCATCTTTAGTTAAAGCATCGAGACGATGCCTTTTTCAGAGGGGGGCAATGCCACGTTCCATTTCCCAAGCTTTTGTTATCGTCCCAAAACACCACACGCTTCTCAGCGCAAACCGCGCCTGCAGTTTTCGAGAGGGTTCCGGACTGTAGTAGATCATTTCGATAAGATCACGCCCACTGTGCGAATAGTACAGATTGTTCTGGAACGTACGCCGCCGCCAGCGGTAGCGCTAGAACATTCGACGGCGGGAATATAAATGCCGACGCGCTTCGCCGCTTGTCAGTAGTTGATCGAAGGCCGACGCTCCGTTCGCCGCTATCAGTCCGAGACTGCTATCTGTGCGAGACTGCTGCTGTAATTGGACTTTCCGTTTACCGGGCACAGGTTCGCCCAAATAAAGTTAAATCCCAACACGAAGTCTCCTGTCTTCGGCCACGTCACAACCCCGTGACAATATCAGTGCTTCAGTAATTTTCCTCAAAGAGAAGAGCCAAAGATATTTTGATGATAAGGCCAAAGAAACATAAATCAGCAAGTGTAGCTCACATGTCGGTGTTTTTCAACGAATTGAATGAATACGTAATGTTAGTGAACATTTGTGGTTATCTTGTCTTTCACTTACAGGATGGGTGTTCCTCATGATGGTGAAGGCAGCTCCCAGGGTTGTCCAGCGAGTCAACTATTTCTAATGTCACCAAAAGCGTCGCGGAATAGAAAACTAACATTCTCCTCATGCTCCAAAGAGGCGATCAACAAGTTCCTAAAGTAAGCTTTAAATGAATACTTTGTGTTTGTTAAAGACGGTTCATTTTTTGGTGCTCTTCATTACGACAGAACAGCAGCTGAAGGTTGCAAACTGAGAAATAATATTATTACGTAAAATTAGACGGGACGTGAATATTTGCCGGGCTATTTACACCAATAAAATCGGAGCGCAGCACACAGAGCGAGCAAACCAGTCCTCTTTGTCGTAGTCCGCAGAATGGTTCATCCTTTATGCGATAGGTACCTACCATTACCCCCCGGTTCTAAGAGCACCGGCTCGGTGCACTTTATACGTGTTCTTCAGGAGGGCGGTATGGTTTCAACCTACTGACGTGGACTGCGTCACTGGGTGTATTAGCAGACAGGTTAGTCCCGCAGACTGGAATGACCTCATAGGTAACGTCCGTTACCCGTCGTATTATACGATAAGGTCCCTTGTACGAAGATAGCAACTTCTCTGACAATCCAACACGAAGAACTGGGCTCCAGAGAAGAACTAGAGAATCAGGTGAGAAGTCAACGTCGACATGCTTGCTGTCGTAGAGATCCTTCTGGGTTTCTTGTGCAGCTGACAGCCTAGAGCGGGCAACCTGACGTGCGTGGTCGGCACGAGCGATAGCATCACGTCCGTATTCGCTCGGCAGAGGTGTAGTAGTGGGTAGTAGGGTGGCTAGTGGTAAGGTCAGATTACTGTCGTAAAGCATATGTGATGGGGCGAGATCTAGGCCTATATTAGAGCGTCCACAGAGAGAAGGCAGCCGAACAAGATGACTGAGTTGCCTCCTGCGCAAGCGTCTAACGCACAGGTGTCTTCGTCCTCTTCACGAAGTGCCGCGCTTGCTCCTGGAGATGATGCACCGTAACAATATAAAAAGGTGAATCACCTACTGCATCATGACGAGATGAATTAGAGGCGAACGTCACGTGAGGTAGCGCTAGATCCCAGTCATGGTGGCCAGATGAGACATACATCGAGAGCATGTCCGTGAGGGTGCGATTTAGGCGTTCGGTAAGGCCAATTGTTTGAGGATGGTAGGAAGTGGTCAGTTTGTGTTGCGTTGAGGAAGAGTGCAAAAGGTCGTCGAGTATGCGTGACGAAAATGCGTGTCCATGATCGGTGAGCAATTGCCGAGGAGCGTCATGGTGTAGAATTACCTCGTGGAGCAAAAAGTCGGCAACGTCAGTAGCAGGGCTTGTGGGGAGCGCTCTAGTGATGGCAAACCTGGTTGCATGGTCTATAGCAACGGCGACCAACTTGTTTCCAGAGTTTGATTCAGGGAATTATCCGAGGAGGGCTACACCAACATGGAAGAAAGGTTCGGTAGGAATGGAGATCGGGTGCAGAAGACCAGCAGGGGGTGCGGCAGGTCGTTTTCAACGTTGGCATTTATCGCAGGAGGCCACGTAGCGTCGAATGGACCGCGCGAGACCACGCCAGAAGAAGCAGTGCCGGACGCGGTCATACGTGGAGATACACCCAAGTGGCCGGCAGTTGGTTCGTCGTGAAGCTCATGCAGGACCGCTGAACGGAGATGGTTAGGCCCGACTAGAAGTAGCTTAGGGCCATCTGGCTGGACGCTACGATGGTACAGCGTGCTATTTAGGAGAACGATCATGCGGAGTGACACGTACTTAAGGTCAGATTCCGTACGGGCAATGAGTGACCGCAAGGAAGGATCGCGACGCTGTTCGTCACCAATCTGACGAAACTTAGACATGGACGTGACGCTGGGGCCAGGCTCACTGACCGATTCATCGGGTTGGTCAACAGGGTAGCAGGACAAGCAATCGGCTTCCAGATGGAGGCGTCCAGAATTGTAGGCAACTGAGTAGGAGTACTCCTGAAAACGCTACTCCCAACGACCAAGTCGTCCAGAATGGTCCTTCCGTGAAAAAAGCCAGCAAAGGGCGTGATGATCTGTGACGACAAGAAACGGGTGGCCATACAAGTAAGGATGAAATTTCGAAACCGCCCGGACAAGGGCAAGGCATTCTCGTTCTGTTATACAGTAGCTATGCTCAGACTTTGAAAGGAGACGACTTGCATATGCAATTCCACGATCAGTGTCCCGCTGAGTTTGGGCCACCCCTGCACCGATGCCGTGACCGCTAGCGTCTGTCCACACTTCTGTAGGAGCAGCTGGGTCAGAATGCGCAAGTATCAGTGGTGTCGTTAGAGCGGTGATTAGTCGAAAGAAAGCATTAGCTCGAAGAGGACCCAACAAAACGGGACGTCGTGCTTGAGAAGGTCTGTGAGTGGGCGTTTGAGTGCCGCAAAGTCTTTTACGAACCAGCGAAAGTAAGAGCATGGGCCCACGAAACTGCGAACATCATGGATAGAGCGCGCGTCTGCTCGTACACCGGAAGCGTCAACAAGGCGGCCAAACACAGTAGTTTGACGAAGACCAAAGTGGCACTTCGAGGAATTCAGCTCGAGGCCGGCATGTCGGAATGTTGATAGAATGGTCGAAAGGTGTTCAAGGTGTGTGGCGAAGGTGGGTGAGAAGATTATGACGTCATCTAAGTAACACAAGCACGTCGCCCATTTAAATCCTTGAAGCAGCGTGTCCATCATTCTCTCGAAGGTTGCTGGGGCGTTGCAGAGACCAAATGGCATGACCTTGAATTGGTAAAGGCCGTCGGGGGTAATGAATGCAGTTTTCTCACGATCCATTTCGTCTACAGCAATTTGCCAGTAGCCAGATTGGAGGTCGAGAGATGAAAAAAAAGGTGGCGCACTGAAGACAGTAAAGTGCGTCGTCATACGTGGAGGAGGATACACGTCTTTCTTGGTTGTTTTGTTGAGGTGCCGATAATCAATACAGGAACGCCAGGAGCCGTCTTTCTTCTTTAGCAAGACCACTGGTGAGGCACAGGGGCTTTACGATGGTTCGATGATGTCTTTCGATAGCAAGTTGTCTACTTCCCTCTCAATCACGGCTCGTTCTGATGCGAACACGCGGTAAGGCCGACGGTGAATGGGCGCAGTGTCACCAGTGTTGATTCGGTGCTTTACAATATTAGTCTCGCCCAAGGGACGATCACAGATATAAAAAATGTCACCGTAGGAGGTCAAAACGCGGCAGAGAGCGTCGGCCTGATCAGGCGAAAGGTCTGGTCCAATCATATTTCGAAAGATCGCTTCGGCAGAACTGGGCAACCATTAGAATGCGGCTTGGTCCGGAACAGTTACAGCGGCAAAGTTTATGACATAATCTCTTATAGCAGTCTGTTGTGAAAGCGACATCTGGTAGGGCAACACTCGAGGAATGAGGCCGAAATTTAGGAGCGGAAGAAACACACAATAGTCCACTATGGTGGCGATGGTATGCGGCACTGTAACACTGCATGCATGCGCATCAGTCGTGCGTCTGTTATCTGTGTAACAATGTAGTCTCCGTCGGGAACGGGAGGGGTTGATGGCAGAAAGACGTGTGTCACAGCTTGAGGCGGCAAGCGAACAAAAGTGGTTGGACCCAAGCGGCTGACGGGCTTCTCACAGGCATCAGAGAGCAGGGGAAGGTCGAGGCTGAGCGTGCCGAGAGGAAATCAAGACCAAGTATGAGGTCATGGGGGCAACAATCTAGTACGGTAAAAAGGACTGTGGCGTAACGACCAGCAATGTTGACACGAGCAGTGCACATTCCGAGGATTTCTACAGCGCCACCATCAGCAACACGTATGGCTTGAGTCATAGAGGGCGTCATAATCTTCTGCAGACGGTGGCGTAGATGTGCGCTCATAATAGATAGGTGGGTGCCTGTGTCAACAAGGGCAGTAACAGGAACACTGTCGACATTTACTTCAATGAGACTTTGGTGCGTGGGCAGCGTCAGTAGAAAGTTTCCGGGCTTCGTTAGTATTACAGCTTCAACTCCATAAGCTGCAATGTCTAGTTTTCCTGCTGCGATCATCCATAGAAGCTCGGCAAGGAAAAGCGCCGAGGCGGCGAAGAGCGGAATTGGCGACGTTGCGGCGATGGGGAGCGGTAGTAGCGGCGACCGGAAGAAGGGGCGTCCGTGGGGAGAGGCTCGTGAGGAGACGGCGAGTAAAAAATGTTGGACGGTGTTGCGGCCGGACGTCCAGAAGTGGCAGATCGCATATAAGTAGGGTGGCTCTGGCATGGTGGGCTGAATCTGTGGCGACGGCAATAACGAGAAATATGTCCAGGTTGATGACAGGAAAAGCAGATAGGCTGGTCATCAGGGGTTCGCCATTGCGTAGGGTTCAGGAAGGGCAATGATAGAGGAGATCGGTGAGCGTTACCTGGGGGGTATGGGCGTACTTCAGGGTGAGCCACGGAACACACTGACGGAAGACGGAGATTGGATGAATTAAGGATACCGATGGGTGTGATGGGTCAGTGGTTGGGGTAGTAAAAACAGGCTGTTGAATGGGAGCTGGACAGGCAGCTTCAAGCTCCTGACGAACGATAACGGGTGACGTGGTCATACGTGGGTGGTTGGCGAGTGGCTTCGCACGATGAAGTTGCCACCGTGTTGGGCAGTCGTGTGAATCTCTGCGTGATACGGCGACTCTTGGCGTGTTCAAACCGCCGGTAATCTTTGATGATTTCATCGATAATGGTGACGTTAGCGTATACAAGCAGGTTGAAGGTATCGTCGGCATTGCCTTTAAGCACATTCGATACCTTCTCAGGCTCGGGCATGTGTTCGTCAACCTGGCGGCAAAGGGGGATGACGTCGTGAATATACGCAACGTAGGATTCGGTAGATGTCTGTGCACGAGTAGCCAACTGATTTCGTGCAGTTATCTGTCGTGCAGCGGTGTTCCCGATAAGGTTACGGATCTTCTCCTTGAAAGTGTCCCAGCTGGTAATGTCAGCTTCGTGCATCTCGAGCCACACCCGCGGAGGGCCATTAAGGTACAAAAGCACGTTGGCAAGCATGAGTGTCGAGTCCCACCTAAAGCTGGCGCCGATCCGTTCATACACGTTGAGCCACTTGTCAACGTTAAGGCCATACTGTCCGGAAAATACGCCAGGATCATGAGCAGGAGGTAGGACAACGTAGGTAGGAGTCACAGAAGAGGCGGGTGTTGAAGACGATGTACCTTGAGCCTGTGACATGGTAGGACTCGTGATGATGTGGCCGTTGCTGAGCTTCGTGATGGGCAACGGGAAGGACGTGACTCCACCACAAATATGTTACCTGAAATGAGACGGGACGTGACTATTTGCCAGTGTATTTACACCGATAAAATCGGAGCGCAGCACACACAATGCGCAAAGCAGTCCTCTTCGTCGTTTTCTGTCCACGGAATGGTTCACCCTTCACGCGATAGCTACGTAGCAATATGCACGTAATGGATACCATGAACATCTCCCCGTGACTAATTTTATACTTTGCTCGTGATACTTGGTCTATTTCAATCTTGTTATTCTGAATCACTGTAATATAGACCAACTAGTCGTTTCCAACTATATTTGATCGGCCAAAATTTGTTCACCGGCAGGTAAATGTTGAAGAGCTAAATTTTGGCGTGTTGTTTCATCATTGCCAATGAGATCGTATAGCGCAGAAAAGAACACAGGAGAACATGATGATGGGAATAGCACTCGGTAAACGTGGACAGGCATTACATTGTACTTATGGCAGCGGTAAGGGCAGCGACGAAAAAGGGAAGCAGCAGAATATTATGCCGTCTCAGATAACTCTTAAAACGTCACGGTGAAAAGTCCTGAGGTTGAACGGAAACTTCATTTCAGGATTGCGCTCTTTGTACAACTTGTGTACCAAAATTCATGTCTTTTTGAAGTACACTCATGCAGAGCTCGTAAGGATCGCGTGGGGATGGAAACCTGAACATTCTTTGCTCGACACGCTAAAAAGCGTGGCCAGTTTTGTACTGGGCAACAGGAGGTTGTCATGTCGTACTCGTGGTCTTAACACTTTACCCAGATTGTGCTGCGATAGTTTAGTTTATACTTAATACCTGCATTTACAAGTTTCAAATGATTAACTCGCACTGTTTGGTACCGTTTAATCATACTGATTCTCACGAGAACATTAGACTTTAAATATAAAGTACACCGGGTCAGCGCTTTTCCGAGTGGGTAGAAAAGTGCGTAATTCAAAATGTAAAGTTATATGAGAATTTGCTTCCATTGATTGAGTACCCATTTTACTTTAATGCATGGTTTTATCACGTACAATAAAATCCAGTAAATTTGCTGACCCGCAGGTCACGGGATCGAATCTCGGCTGCAGCGGCCGCATTTTCGATTGAGGCAAAAATGCTGTGGGCCCGTACGCTCAGGTATGGGTGCACGTTCAAGAACTCCAGGTGGTTGAAATTTCTGCAGCCTTTCACTACGGCGTCTTTAATATTCACATAGTGGTTTTTGAGACGTTAAACTCCACATATCAATCAAATGAATCAAATTCCAGCAGATTAATTCTATCAAACGCATGCTGCCAAAGGTGCATTGTTACATGTTTTGTGATAGGCTTTGGACACCTTCAAAAATGGTGTATAAGATCACATCGCATCGAAAAAATATATTCCTTGGGAGAATATATTCGGCGGACCTATTCAGCTTTCTTCCTTTATTTAGGAATACCTATACACAAAAACACTCCATGTGCTTCTTGCTACGAGAAGTGGCACTTCTTTTACACATGACCGGGAATTGCGTACATTTACGCAGTTCAAGAAGCAGCAAGCGGATGTCACTATAGGAGATATGATTTCGTGCCTGCTGCCCACTCCTTGAGAGAGAGGACCTCTTTGAGGCATTGAAGCACCTTATTGGTGTCACAAATCCGTACACGCTTTTGAGCATGGTACTAGAAAATTTTCCGGCACTGCGAGCTCTTCCAGCACTTCTGATACAATGTTGGGGCATAGGTGGACCTCAGAAACAACAAGCTCATTTCTGAGAAAAACTACCAATAAAGTTGCGCTGCGTTAGCTACATAATAAAATTGTACGTGAGTTGAAAGGGAGCCGTTCGGAAAATGTAAAACCGGAGGCCATTTTTGCAACTTGTTCCCTGAACTTTACAAACAAATTTAATACACGCCAAAAAGGGTTTCAACAGACGCACCTGTCGCAAGTTGTGTGGTAATGTCTGCAGGATGGAAGGACGCAACAAAAGGGAGATGGCAGAGAGGTTAACCAGAAAGACATCTGGTTGGCTTCCCTACACTGGGGGAAACTTTCCGAAAACAGTGGTGTTTGATAGCTTATATCTCCCTATAGAAACGGCGAGAACACACAGGGGTAATTTTAACGCTTGATTGTCTGGAAAAAGCGGACATCGGCCGCGTTGACCAGACTAATGGAAAGAATAGATGTCATTGTCCCAGCAGGAATTAAATCCTAGCATACTGCAGGTAATAAGGTATTCTACCACAGAGCCACGCCAGGCACCAGAAGTAACTTTCAAATAGACTCTATTATGTGTAAAACGCCAATTGTGGTTGCAGTACTGGCTTTCCGATTTTAACGTGATAGTGTTAAAGAGCTCGTTTCGCGGAAATCCGAGTAACACACACAACACGCAGCACTCTATGAGCGCTGCGTGTCGCGTGCGTTACAGGTTTGGGCGTCGACGTCAGCGGCAGTGGTTGTGAGCAAAAAAGCATCTTTATATGCATGACCGAAAAATCGAGAACGGTGTAAAGAAAATAAATAGGAACAAAATATTGGTCCAGAGTTGCGATCGAACAAGGGGCAATTGCTTTCGCGGCTAGGGATGTTTCACCCCAGAGCCACGTATATGCTTGAAATACTGTGAAAACAACTTATTCTGCCTATAAATGCACTTAAAGTGACTTCCACGCTACAAACACATGCGTCTTGTATACATTTTCACAATACAACATGATATATTGCCGTAATAATGCGTCGTACAAGCGTAGATTGCCACTGGGCGTCAGAACATGGGATTATAATAATGGCTTCATAGTCGAACGCTAGTCACCCACTACAAAAGAGACGCATGGCAGTGTACCCTCCAGGCCGCGTTGTGAGTGCACACATCAAGCTCGAAAATATTTCACGCACTAAGTGTTTGAAGTACGCACTCGGGACAGGAAATTGCTATCACGTTTACTTCCTAAATGCCTAAGGACACTCTGATTTTATAAAAATTACAGATGTACTCCTTCGATACCGCCATCCCATCGCGTTCACACCAATTGTAGTCGGGTGTCATCCGCTTGTTTATAGCAGTGTCCAGGACTATGATCCTCGCGAGCAGCAGCGCTTTATATCAGCTTACCGCTTCTTGTGTGGCTAATATTAATGTTGCTGCTACCATCATTAGGCAACTGTAAACAACTGTAAAAACAACAGGTGATATAAAATATATGGGGCTGTTCTCCGTATATCACATATATCTGTGCATGATTTTGTACATGTGTATAGCGCCACTTCGTAACATTTCGCTCAATGAAAATTTCAACACAACCAGCTTGCATGTGTATGCTTCGCATAACATCGACTCCCAGGGTACATGTGATTAGCCGACTTTTTTCTTCATAACTGTTACAAGATTTCGCGTGAATGGACTCTTTTCACCAATGCTTGTTTAAAGTTGGGGATTGTTGAGCAGAAACGTTTGCGCAGTATCATGATCTTGGTTTAATGTTCTAATTGACTCAACGTTCACTGCGTTTTAGGGAAATGAAAACGTGTTTCTGTTGAGCACATCTCGAAGTTATTTTAAAATTCTTTAACTATATCTTTGGTCACGTAGTTTTAAAAGCTGTGACATTATTTAGATATTCATTTATTCTAGAAGTTCGGCTTCTATTAGTGATGGAAGACGTGCGTATCTACAAGCGTATGCACGAAGAAATATTTCTTGCTCCTATCAATTCTTGTCTCACTGCAGGACTAAAAATGCTAGCTGCCTGTTTGATTATCTAATGCCACCAGAAGATCCCAAAATTCGAAAAAGAAGAGAATCTAATTGTGCCGAGTTGAAGGAAGAATCGGAGTACTACTACGTAAGAGAGGTGAGAAACATTGTTTAGAAGTTTTATGAGATTGTAAGTTTATATGACACGCACTAATTATAGTAACATTACATACAAGCTTCTAGAGAAAGTGTATGTTGTGGTGTATTTACAGCATTACGTCGAAAGTTGCACGTATAACAATCTGCTCCTATTTGGGCGTTTGTTGAAACGTGAACTAGTAACCTTATCCACGACACTGTGCGTGCCATAACATAAAACAAAGGGATCTAACAGGTGACAACGACGTCGAAGTCTTTGAACTCTTAGTTAAAGTGAAAAGAGGCATTTTTCTACTTTTTTCGCCGATTCCTTTAATTTACTCTCGTTTTCCATTGCCTGTCCTGTGACCATAGTTTTTCTAATCACTCAAAAAATTTGTGGGTGTTTATTATAGAGTCGCCCTTCTAGGAAATATTTGTAGTTGGCTCTATACTTATACAGCGAAATTATATATACTTGTTGACGTCTGGCAATTATTCAAGCGCCCCACCGTGGTGGTGTAGTGACTAAGGTACTCTGCTGCAGACCCGCAGGTCTGCAGCAGAGTAGCGGCTGTGGTAATACTTTAGCATATTTAATGGTACTTTTGTAATGGTACTTTTTAAAGGTACTTTTTACGGCACTTTGGAATTTTTAATAGAGGAGGAAAGGCTGTAGTCCTGTGTCCTCAGATTTGAGTGCCGGGATTTGATCCCGCCACCTGCGCGTCAGCAGCTGAGTATCTTAGCCACTAAACCACCGCGGTGGGGCAATTTATATAAACTGTGAAGTTGGCTTGCGCAATTTCATGCTACACATCAGACCTCGCGACATTGACGTAATTTAAGGTGACCTCAACGTGACCGCCAACTTCGGAGGTATGCGTCACCACTGCAAGCATGCTCGGAGCTGGCGTAGCTAATATGAGGATGTCCTAGTCGCCATTATCCTTCGGCCGCGCTCGTGCCAGCATGCAGGCGAGTACTTGGCGGCTGCTGGCAAAAGCGTGACGACAATGGACTTGTGCAAAATGGGAAAGCCTCAAGAGAACTGCGGCTGTCATATCAGGATGATAAAAATAATGAAAAAGATGATGGCCATGATATTGTGTTGTACGTGCAGCAAGAAAAAGTAAACAGAGGCTGGTGGCATCATACAAATGCGTCGCGGTTACGTGCGCATTTTCAGATTCTGAACGCGTTTGTTGCACACGACTGCCTATCGTACCTGGAGCTTTACGAAACTGACACTGTGGCTAGTCGGTAATGAATAGGTTTTAATTTAGTATATGTGGAGTGCTGCAGCAAGTGGTGTGGACGTGTTACCAGTATTAAACACCCAGTAACATGTTTCAGCTAAAAACGTGACAGAAAACTTTTTTGTCAGCCTTTGTTGAAAGACACGGGAAGTGAGTGGTTGGAATGAAGCTGTTTCAGCAGTTTGAGCTATCATTTTGTTTTTGTATGCAAACATTACTCGGTTACAAAGGCCAGCAGTTGACGTGCTCTGGCTGACGGGGACCCACCACCCGAATGCACGCAACCAGAGCATGCAGAAAACAAACACACCATCATACATTGATCAAAACTTTGCAGTAGAATCATCACAGAGGCGCAATCATCACGATTGGTTGAGTACGTTCTAATAAACAGTAGGTCAGCTCTGGTCTTAACAATGGCGATGGTGCCTTGTCCATTTCTCTATATTTTGCCGCCATGAGAGCCACGGGAAGGACCTTCATGGGTAAGACCGTGTGGTCCTTAGGAATTCTCGGTCGCATCTGAAGCCTAGATGACATTCCTGACACCGCTTTTGGGTGAAGCAGAAGTTTGAGGCCTAAACGTTGTCGAGACCATCATCAGGTAGCATAATCCTACAATCCACGGATAATCTGGGACAATCATAACAGATACCAGGTTGATGCCCACCTTGCGTGATGCTGCCGGCTATTGAATTCTCGTTTTGTCGATACTGGACAGGATTATAGAGGTCTTATTTGAAAACTGCAGTCAAGTGTACTAGGCCATCACAAAAGCCACCGCAATCGTTGAATAAGTTTTAAACGTGGGAGTGCCCGTGAGCATGTGATTTCCGTGATATTCATAAAATTTTGATTGATGAGTATGATGTCCTCAGAAGAATCGACAATGAAGAGAATGTAATCGATATTGATCACTTCCATGCTGGGATCAAAGAGGCAGATGTTTATGTGCACCAGATTATTCTGGCAAAGGTCAGATCACAATATGAGGTGGACATGGCTTGGATGAATACACCATATAGTATTTTCATCCTTCCATTCAGTTAGATGCTCTAAGCCTCCACAGTATGGAAGGCAACTTCTGTGATGGAGTCTAGCTGATAGCAGAGTGAAAATAACATCTTAGCGTTTAAAGTATCGGTATTGATTGATTGATATGTGGGGTTTAACGTCCCAAAACCACTATATGATTATGAGAGACGCCGTAGTGGAGGGCTCCGGAAATTTAGACCACCTGGGGTTCTTTAACGTGCACCCAAATCTGAGCATATCGGTATGACAAGAAAGCGAAACGTGTGTTCACAAACGTTGTCGATTGTTTATTGTATATTGGTATATGAGTACTGGCGCAATGTTTATTGCTTGGCTGCTATAGCACCGCTGAGCATCGATGCACGTCAACAAGCATATAATAAACATTGATACTCGATATTCAGTTCATCGCATAGGATGTCATCCACTGTAGTCGATAGGATAGCGTCTTTCTCATAAAGGGGATATAAAGTCCGTAAGTGGAAGTATCCTGAGTGGTTGAAACATCGGTGTAAATATACGAGTGTTGACCATAGGGATCGGCTAAAAAGAGGAGAGTAGCCTGCAGCAGCGCAGTCTGTGACATTCGTCTTTATGCTCCATTGATGCCAGGTACAACTTGTTTTTTCTCAAGGCTGGAGACCAGGCCGCAGGAGATTATGGCATCGGTACTAGAAACGCCAGAGGAGAGCTACTAGTGGAATTCGCAGAACGCAATAATTTACGAATTTTGAATACCTTCTACCGAAAACGAGGAAACCGCAAGTGGACATGGAGGAGCCCTAATGGCAAAAATAAGAACGAAATAGACTTTAAAATGAGTGCACACCCAGGCATCGTGCAGGATGTGGAAGTGGTTGGCAAGGTACGATGCAGTCACCATAGAATGGTACGGTCTCGAATTCGCCTAGACTTGAGAAAGGAACGACATAAACTGATACGCATGAAGCCAATCAATGAGCTAACACTGAGAGGGAAAGTACAGGAATTCAGAGTCTCGCTTCAGAACAGGTACTCGACTCTTAGTGAGGAAACCAACCTTAGCATAGATACTATGAATGATAATCTGACGAGTATCATTACGGAGTGTGCAGTGGAAGTTGGAGGCAGGGTAGTTAGACAGGACACTGGCAAGCTTACCGAGGAAACGAAGAATCTCATTAAGAAGCGTCAAATCATTAAAGTCTCAAGTACAACAGACAAAATAGAACTGGCAGAGCTTTCGAAGTTGATTAATAGGCGTAAGGTATCCGATATAAGAAGGTATAACATGAAGAGAATTGAACACGCTCTGAAAAATGGAGGAAGCGTAAAAGCAGTGAAGAGGAAACTTGGGAAAGGCAAAAATCGGATGTATGCACTGAGGGACAAAGAAGGCAAAATAACTACCATGGATAGGATAGTTGAAATAGCGGAGGAGTTTTACAGAGATCTATACAGTAGCCGAGACAACCACGACCTTAATACTATAAGAACTAGCAGTAACCCAGATAACACCCCACCAGTAATGATAGAAGAAGTCAGAAAGGCTTTGGAGAGCATGCAAAGAGGCAAAGCTGCTTGGGAGGATCAGGTAACATCAGATCTGCTGAAAGATGGAGGGCAGATTGTGTTAGAAAAACTAGCCACCCTGTTTACGAGGTGTCTCCTGACGGGAAGGGTACCAGAGTCTTGGAAGAACGCTAACATCATCTTAATACATAAGAAAGGAGATGACATGGACTTGAAGAATTACAGGCCGATCAGCTTGCTCTCTGTAGTATACAAGCTATTTACAAAGGTAATTGCTAACAGAGTAAAGAAAACATTAGAATTCAATCAACCAAAGGAACAAGCAAAATTTCGAATATGCTACTCAACAATCGACCACATTCATACTGTCAATCAGGTAATAGAGAAATGCTCAGAATATAACCAACCACTATACATAGCCTTCATAGATTACGACAAGGCGTTTGATTCAGTAGAAATATCAGCCGTCATGCAGACACTGCGGAATCAGGGCGTCGATGAAGTATATATAAACATCCTGGAAGAAATCTACAGTGGATCAACTGCTACCATAGTGCTTCATAAAGAAAGCAACAGAATACCAATGAAGAAGGATGTAAGGCAGGGGGACACAATCTCCCCAATGCTATTTACCGGGTGCTTACAGGCAGGTTTTGAGAAGCCTACAATGGGAACAGTTAGGGATAAGAGTTAATGGAGAGTACCTTAGTAACCTGGGCTTCGCCGACGACATTGCATTGCTGAGTAACTCAGGGGACGAATTGAAACTCATGATTACGGAGTTAGACAAGGAGAGCAGAAAGGTGGGTCTTAAAATGAATCTGCAGAAAACGAAAGTAATGTACAACAACCTCGGAAAATAGCAGCGCATCGAGATAGGTAATAGTGCACTTCAAGTTGTAAAAGACTATGCCTACTTAGGGCAGGTAATAACCGCAGAGCCGAACCACGAGATTGAAGTAACTAGAAGAATAAGAATGGGGTGGAGCACATTTGGCAAGCACTCTCAAATCATGATAAATAGACTGCCACTATCCCTCAAGAGGAAGGTATATAACAGCTGTATCTTGCCGGTACTTAGCTACGGAGCAGAAACCTGGAGACTTACAAAGAGGGTTCAGCTTAAATTGAGGACGACGCAGCGAGCAATGGAAAGAAAAATGGTAGGTGTAACCTTAAGAGACAAGAAGAGAGCAGAGTGGGTTAGGGAACA